GAGAGAGAGAGAGAGAGAGAGAGAGAGAGAGAGAGACTCTGATTGTTCCTGAACACTTGTGACTCATCCATCTAAGTCCTGCTGCCATGGTGCATCTTCTGCCAAGGGGAACATTGTCTTTGATTCCTCCATGTTATTTTTGTCTTATAGATTTTATTCCATCTTTGAAGAATCTTTTTGGAAATCCAGTGTACTTCCTATATTTGTGTGCAAGCACTGTTCAGTTCAATTCTTTGTTTGGCATGGTGACATATAAGCCGAAGTACATTGAGCAACAGTATGGACAATCATCTTCCAAGACCAACTTTGTGATCGGTATGGTCATCTGTCTTCATGCTTTCTTGTAGGCCCTCCCTTAGCTACATCTGGTTAACTCTTAGTAATCTTAAAGGAGATTGTTCCAAAATGTAGATCAAAGAAATTAATTGGATCATATTTTTGTGCCAGATATTGTGCTAAGAACTTTCCGTGAATAATATTAAGTCACCTCAACAGAAGAGTAACTGTGATAGATCATATATCAAAGGTTTAGCTGAGTGGCTGGTATATTATTAGCAAATAATAAATATAGATTTTTGTTGTTGTTTTTAGGAGGAATACAAAACTCAAAGGCTAAGAAGCTGAGTGAACAAAAACAAATTTTGTTTAGGCCGGAAAATAGAAACCAAGACTGTTTGTTTTTAAAAGTTTTCTATATACTGTATATTATTTTTAGAACATTGTCACAGAATTGCTACTCAACCATACCTTCTAATCTTGGGATTGGACCAGAAAGACCAGAAATATTTATTGATTCATTCAGTATTTATTGATTTAATACTGTGTGATAGACATTGTATTAGACAGAATTCTGAAACTGTGCAGTTGTACTATAATTAATCCATAACACAGACACTCATCATAAGCTCTCAATATATGCCAGCAGATAGTGACGGAATATTTCCATAATTTAAAATGACAAAATAGTCTAATAATAGTAATATACCAGTATCTACTGTATAGTGTTGTATAATCCCTTAGAAAGTTTATAAAAGTGCACTCAGATTTCTCTTAGAGGTTCACACAATGGCATATTTTTCTTGTTCCTCAGGGCTCATCAACATACCTGCTGTGGCCCTTGGGATATTCTCTGGGGGAATAGTTATGAAAAAATTCAGAATCAGTGTGTGTGGAGCTGCAAAACTCTACTTGGGATCATCTGTCTTTGGTTATCTCCTATTCCTTTTTCTGTTTGCACTGGGCTGTGAAAATTCTGATGTGGCAGGACTAACTATCTCCTACCAAGGGTACGTTCCTCATTAAAACATTTGAGAAGATTGGCTAATCCAGTAAAATTAATTATTAGTAGAGTTTAAATTTTAAACATTATGACTATGGTAAGAGAATTATTGTTTCATTGTGGAATAACTGACAATACCTGTGGCTTATAATCCGTTATTGTCACCACAATGTGTCATCTCCTTTAAATTTGTATGTCTTAGACAGATATGTATAGGGAGTACCAAAAAATTTATACACATTTTAAGTATGATGTTGGCTCCAAGATGGCATTAATCAAATGAATGCTAGTATCACATGAGACAGGCAGGACAGCCAAAGAAAATGATGGTGGCATGATTGAGCAAATGTCATACTACACATTGCTACCATAATTTAATTCAACTTTTAAAAGTGATACATAGATAACATCAGTTACAATGTGTATAAATTTTTTGGCAACCCATGTACATTTTTAAGCCAACATCTCAACCTGATTCATTTAGAGAAACAGCATGATAGTAAATATACAGACCTTGAATCTTGCTTCTGTCTATTCTTAGTGAAATAATTTGTTCTGGGGTTATTTAAGCCAATTAAACTTCTATTTATTTATTTTGGAGTTGGGGATCTCACTCCGTTGCCCAGGTTGGAGTATAGTGGCATGATCTTGGTTCAAGTAACTTTGACCTCCTAGGTTCAGATGATACTTCCACCTCAGGCTCTCAAGTAGCTGGGACTACAGGCATGCACCACCATGCTTAGCTAATTTTTAATTTTTTTTAATAGTCTTTCTATGTTGCCTATGCTGGTCTGGAACTTATGAGCTCAAGCAATTCTCTTGCCTTGGCCTCTCAAAGTGCTGCCATTACAGGAATGAGCCACCACACATGGCTTATTTTTCTAATTTTTAGAAAGATAAAGCACGTGAAAGTGATTTGTATTTGCCTGACAAAAATAAATGTGCCATTTGTGAAAAAACTATATATTTTTTCCTTTGGATACCTGGATAAATGGAGTAGTCTTTATGCAATCCTCTATAGTTTCTGTTGTATTCAAATTATAAGAAGTTTCAGGAGAGAATGGCTATTCTTCAACTCAGTGACCCCCCATAATAGCTCTCGTTAGTTGGATGTCTTGCAAGAGTCAGAAAAATATTTATTGATGTCTTCAGCCTGTGTCATCCCATATGCAATGCATGGTTAGATATCTTTAGTTTGCAGAGTCTCTTTCTCTTAATACAAGGCTGAATCTTGTAGGAACTATTTTAGTCTTTCCCTTCAAAAGTCCTTTTCATCACTCTACCTCTGAACATGAGTTGGCAGAGTTGACTTTCTTCCTACTTTCACCTATCTATGCATTATTAATGTTTAAAAAATTATTAAGCCCTCACCGTGTGCCAGCAGACCTCTCTGATTACATTAGCCTGATTGCCCAATCTCTTCTTGTGGTTTAAAGGCAAACACTCCTGACACTGCATTCTGTTTCCTGCCTGTTCAGCTGCTTCTTGCTTAGTGTGCTCTCTGGTTCCCTTCCTACTTTTCCTTTCTTCCATGCTTATCTGTCTGTCTTGTCTCTGTGTTCTAAACTTCATTAACTTTATTGACCTACTTTCTCCAGCTGCTATGTGAGGACATGTTATAATTTTTTCACCATCTACAATGTGCAAGAAAATCGGTGAATGCAAAGTTTATACATGATGGCTTCTGGGAATTATCACAGCCATGTTGTTTGACTCAGCTGAGTGTGGTGCTGCCTTGGTGACAATCAGCAATGTAGATTAAGAATGTTAGTTGTAAATATGATTTGCAAGAAGATGCAGGGAGAGAGCAGGGGTCCTTGCCATCTTTAACTGTCCAAAGGATCCTCACAACAGCAGGACAGTTGTAGAGTACTTTATATTTTGCAATTTACAAAATATCTTAACTTTCATGATCTCACTTGTATCCGCAAAGCACCTTTATGAATTTAGTTTTGTTATCCTTGTTTAAAAGCTACTGAGTTTAGAAAAGTCAATTAGCTTCCCCAAAGTTAAATGTCTATAAAAGGCAGATATAAAGCTTAAACATAGGCATGATTTTAAAAAAGCATAATATGTTTCTACAACATCATATTGTTTCTAAGCAAAAAGCAAATTCATTAACAGACAATACCAGCAAACTTTTGAACTTTGAGTTAAATGTATGCATAATAATCGAAGATTATATACTTTTTAAACACTGGATGACATATTCAGTGTACAAGTACTAGCCTCTTCAAAGCAGTTGCCTTGAAAGACTATAACTGCATTTCAGTAATGCTATCATTGTTTTAAATAGTCTAAAATTCCTTTTTGGAAATTTCTTTCCATATTTATTAGAATATCTTTAACAATGACAAAGATCTACTTTTAAGATTGGCTTTGACATTGGCAGCAGCCAAAATAAATGGCAATATCACTTGGAAAATCTCTCAACTCTCAGCATAACTCTTTTGAAAGAAAATCTCATTTGGGTATAAACATTCTGACAAATTTGTTAAAACTATTTTTTTCTTTCTTTTATTGAGACAGCGTGTCACTCTGTCACCTAGGCTGGGGTGCAGAGGCATGGTCTTGGCTCACTGTAGCCTCAAACTCCTGGGCTTAAGCAATCCTCCTACCTCAGCCTTCTGAGTAATTGGGACTATAGGCATGCTTCACTATGCCCAGCTAGTACTTTTTAAAAAAATTTGTTGTAGAGATGGAATCTGACTATATTGCCAAGGTGGTCTCAAATTCCTGGCCTCAAGTGATTCTCCTGCCTCAGCCTCCCAAAGTGCTGAGATTACATGTATGAGCTACCATGCCCAGCCAAAACTCTTCTTATAGTTGCAATTTTAAATCACAACTCTATGTTTAACATGTTCTTCAGAAAATGTATATGTAATTAATTTATGCCCTAGATGACAAATTAAACTTACTTTCTATAATATAAAATTATTGTCTTTATAAAATATAAAATTGTCTCCATGGATTATTCTATGTTGCTTTGTTCCAAAAGGCTGTTTTAATTCTGGACATTTAATATGAATATTGCAGAGAAAACTTTAGATTTGGTAATGGAAGACATCTTTCTTCTGCAATAACAGAATAATTCTGATGTGTGATAAGAACTTAGAATCAAGATGCCTGGAAGGATTCTATTTCCAGGCCTGTCACTAACAGTGTGGATTTGAACAAATTACCTGCCCATTGGTATCTGACTTTCCTGATCTGTCAAATGAGAGGTTGGACTAGATTACTCTAAGGTTTCTTCCAGCTCCAATCTTCTATGATTGCAGCCCTACATTATCTATAGTGAAATGACTCTAGACTTTTAAAGGTACATTTTTATACTTTAAGATACTACCAATCTCAGTTAACAATTAATATTTTATAGAAGAGAATAGGATTAAAGAGTCCTATAGGACTTCTCAGAGAACTGGTTCAATACCCTTCCACATTTGTTTGGAGTCATCTCAGAGAGCTTTTTTTTTTTCTTTCAAGGTGACAAAATCCATATATAGAAGTTTCTAGGTGAAATAGTATATTAAAAATATATGTTGCAGTAACTATAGAAGGTATCTCTCAGGAGCAGGGGCCCAAATGGCTGATTTTTTTTCCAAAATAAAATACCAAAACAAAAGACTAGAAATCTTGCTTCTTAGCTTATGGCCAGGAATTGTTCTTGGTGTTGGAGATAGAAGAGTAAATAAAAGAAATAATTTCTGCTTCCGATGAGTTGTACACTCATGAATATATTTCCAGTGTATTTTTTAAAGTCCCTAAAATATCTTTGTAAAATAAAATAGTAGAAGGAAAGAGAGACGAATAAGCAAATAAATAGGTAAATTCAAAATGGGAGTGGAGAAATGAATTATGCATGGCTAATAAATGGCATATACGGTGCAGATAGAAGCAACATACCATTGCATAAGTGCTGGAGTCCAGCTCCAGGAGAGAGTCAGGGTTTGAGATGGGGGAATCGGGAAGAGGCGAAAAAGAAAAGATGAAAACGACAGGATCCTTCTTCCTGGGGAGAGCTCAAGACTCTGCCAATTTTTATTCAATTCTTACAAGCTTATATAGTTTTTTTACTGACTGCCCCGCCCACAAAATGTATCCCATGTTACACACTAAATATTTACATCATGTTTTTTCTTTTGTTTATGGGGAAGTTGACCTTCATAAGTTTCATTTTACTCCTTCCTGCTACCTGTGGTGTAACAAAATATCAGCTGCCAATTTATCAGCCACATCCTGTGACCTCTAGACCAACTGAATCTCTTCCCTTCGCTATTCTATTTCTTTTCCTTTACTAATTTTCTTAATTCTGCCCTTATATATACTTTTAGCAGCAATATATTGACTTGTTTTTCTTTTATATAATCACCTTATCTTACCCACTACGAATTCTTAATACTCTATTTTTTAAAAAATTTAACTTTCTTAATTCTAATTGCCTTATCTATATTACTTGCTATTTTCTTATCACCTATTTTACATTTTATATTTCTAAACAAAACATGTCTAAATTTACACTTATATATGAAATTAATCTTACTACTAATCCTAAATGTATTTAATTTTAAACCTACATTAAGTGTATATAATTTTAAGTTTACCTTAAAACTTAATTATTTCCTATTTCTTATTTTTAACTAATACCTACATCTACAATAAACATTTATCTTTTAATTATAACTGCTATTTATTTAATTCTAATCCCTTACTTTAATTTTAATCCTCTTTCTAATTAAACTATAATATTTCTTAAATCAAAAGGCATGTCTGTGACTTGTTTTTCCCGAAAACACCTGTTTTTGGAGATACTCTGTCTCAGTTTCTCACTTTCTCATCAATCACAACTGTCAATGTTGTTATTTATAAAGGATATGAGGAAGTACTTGTTTTTCCTTTTTAGCTAAGGGTG